TAACCCTTGGGACTTCAAGGGTGAGGTGGGGGACGCCTAACAATACAGAAGATTAATAAATCAAGCAACTACCATGAACCACTGCAACGAGAGTTCAAAGATGCACATCTGGTTCTGGAGAAAGGAAATTTTTCTTGAAGAAGATGACATTTGAAATAAATTTTAAGTGCTGAAAGGAATTTAACTGTTTGAATTGGAGGTGGAGAAATACAATAACCTGATTAAACTTTTCATCCATACAAAATCAAAGATATTAAATAGTGCAACCGGGTTGCCACCAAAGCCATATAAGTTGACACAGATGCTAAAGAGCAGCTGTCAAAGAAGCTTGGCTCTGTCCCTGGGCCTCATGCAGTGCTCTGCATGGACCTGGTGAATGGGAAATGTCAAAGGAAAATAAAATTAAAATGTGCACTTCTTTAGAAATCCAGGCACAAGGAAAACTGTATCAGATGTTGTCTTGGTTACTTTTCTTGTTGCTAAGACAAAATATCCAACAGCCAGGAGGTAAGGAGGGAATGTTTATTTGGCTCAAGTTTGTAAAAGTTTAGTCTATAGGCAGCTGACTACAAGGCAGGGTGGCCTGGCAGAAGAGAAACAGCCCATGGCGTGGCAGGCAGAAGACAGTGAAGCACCAAGTAGCAGCAGCAAACCTGTCTTCCCTCTCTCTCTTTATGTTCCATCCAGGCCTCAAGTCTATTGATTGGTTCCAGGGTGGGGCTTCCACTATCCATAGCCTTCAACCCAGTATCACACTCAATCCACATTTACACACCCTAATACAGCAACCTTTGAAACTCCCCACATATGACCACATGAAGCTCTGGGGGAGACAGCTAGACATAAGCCATATCAGGAGTAATAATAACTAGCATCAATTTAGGAAGTCAAGTAAGGCAGTATGACCAGGCTTGGGGTGCGAGGAACCACACAGTAACCACAATAAGTAGTGTGTGACATGAGTGTGAGAGATGTTTGAGGCCACCCAGGAAAACTGCTGGCTGCGCTCTGGGATCGGGACTGCGCCCTAAGCTCAACACGGCACTCTGTTGCCCCCTATCTTGGTCGGGGCACAGATGAGCGGGCAGTGTGAGAGCACAGAGCACAGCACACTGTGAGCCTGTGCTGACAGCGGGATCTCATGGACAAGGGTCTGCCCTTAGGCTGCACTGGGATTTTTCCTGGGAGCCATCTGCATGGAGTTTGGGGATTTGGGGACACAGAGGGAGCTACTGGCACGCTCAGTAAGTGCACCCCTCAGGGGAGGAGAACCTGCCACAGAAGAGCAGGCCCTTAGTCTTGTGCCTGACAAAGAACAGGAAGGGGCAATCAGCCCAGAACACAGGCCCAGACTCCTCCTCACAACAGGCTGAAGCAACCCACCCTGAAGCCTCTGGTGCCTCTGTGCCTTCCTCATTGACCTCCACCACACTCCTGTGCACGAACCTGGACAGACACAGGTCCCTGTCAGCCACCATCCCAGTCAGGTCTGCACTGCCCTGCTCAAAGGCATGCACCATGCCCAATCGCTGCAGCACAGAGCCCATGTCATAGTCCTCCTGCAGTTTAAACCTCGGCAGGAAAACTTCAACCTCCATACTCTTCATCTGCTCTGCACTGGTCCACGATTGGAATTTCTCAAAAGTGAGGCTTTTTTCCACCTGAAAGGCCAGAATTAGACTTTCAGATTCAGACCCCAGTGCACACCCCAGCTGTCCCTCCTGGGGCCGCACCCCTCCTCTGCCAGGCAGTGGTGCTGCCTGTCACACACTGGGCTGCAGCTGCCTGGAACTGGGCAGGTCTCTGGCTTGTCCTGCACCCAGCTGCTCTGCTGCCACCCTGGGCCGACTTCCCAGGGTCAGAGATGGGGCTGTGCTCACCTCACCACCCCTGCTGGCCAGGGTCTCTGCCAGGGAGGCTGTGCTGTGTGGGCATTTGGGGTTTTTGAGCTTTTTGAGCTTTTTGGCTTGTTTGTTTGTTTGCTTGTTAGTTTTGGTTTTTTGAAGTAGGCTTAGTTGTGAAGAGTCTTTAAATTTAAGGCAAAATCTTACTGCGGTACAAGACACAATGCCGAGAATAATGAGACAAGTGTGTTCTTCATGAGGGGAGGATTTTCCATATTTTGAGGGTCAATGGCAATGTATCTTTAACTGTAATAAATTTTTTAATATAAAGATTTGTCATAGTTTTTGATCAGCCCACTACATTCCTGGTGGGGATGTAAAATTATACAGTAGCTTTGCCAAATCTGGTGGTAGATCTTCAAAGTTAAATACAGAGTTACTGTATGGCCCAGAAATTCCATTTGTAGGTTTATACTCAAGATAAGTAGAAGAAAACACATTGACATATAAAGTTATACGTGAGTAATTCAGAGCAGCATCATTCACCATAGACAAAAGACGAGAAACTCCCAAATGGGTGGCAATTGATGAAGAAACAAAATGGGCACATGAACACGTGATATTATTAGGAACATTCTTCCTTCATGAAAATCCGCAACTGATAAACGCTACCTGGAGCCATCAGGGACAGAGCCTGGACCGTTGGGTTAGCAGAAGAGAGCAAGCACTGAAGACCACACTGGATGATTCCATTCACGGAGGTGCTCACTGAAGACAAATACCTAGGCATGAAATGGGTCAGGGCTGGCCAGGCCTGGGGGCCAAGGGAGGAGCGTTAGTGCTGAAAATGTTCCAGAGGTAGGTAGTGGTGACAGTTGTTCAGCACTGAATAAGTAAAAGCCACCGAATGCTGTGCTTTAAAGGGATGAATGTTGTTCAATCAGGATTTTGATCTCTGAAATATATGAGTTCATTAAGTGATTACAGTGCTAGCAGAAGATAAAAGCACTGGTCTTGGGAGAAATTCCCCATGCCACAAGCAGCTGGCCAGGTTATTACTATGGCTGTGTTATTGTTGTTGTAGTTGTTGGTTTAGTGAGACAAGGTCCTGCTATGTATTCTATGCTGGCTTTGAACTCACTCTGTAGCCCAGGCAAGCCTGGAACTAATGGTGATCCTCCTGCCTCTGCCTCCCAGTGCTGGGATTACAGGCCTGTGCCACCACACCCAGCTTGAAAAATGTCATCTGGATCTAAGCAGCCAGGATTTTATGATGAAAATTGGGTGACTTGCATGACTGACATTGGCTGAGGATGAGTGGAAGGAAAAGGCATAGCTAGCCTCGGCCTGCATGGCCCATTAGGAGAAGATTTGCTGGTTGGTTTTCCAGGCATGGAAGGAGACGTGGCCCCATGGTTCATTTTCAATGAACTCCTTCCTCTTGGGGTCAGGGGTTGAGAGTCGGGATGGTTCTGAGGCGGGCTGGCTCCTAAGGGGGTCCCCAGAAGACCCTGGCTGGCCTCACCCCGAGTCCGGCCTCAGAAGAGGGCAGGGTTTGGGTAAATTTTCAACAGCACAGAGGAGCCCTTGGGAAAAGCCCCTGCTGCCCTGAAAACTCCCCAGCCTGTTTCCCCCGGATGTTGTCATGATATAGGGGAAGAGATGTAACTCCCAAACCTGCTGATGTCCAAAACTCGACTTCCTGTTCTCTAAAATCAAAGAATGAATTCTAGGAACAATGGAGGTTAAGAGTAGGAAAAATTATTGGGAGGAAGAAAGCTTCGGCCTGAGAGAGACAGAAGGGGGACCGGAAGGTGGGTTGCCCGCCCACCCCACTTTTCAAAGGTGTTTTATACAGCACAGCCATGTGGTGAGGCGGGTACAAAGTGGGATAGAACTATAAGACCCAATGGAAATGTACAAGGTGGGCATGAGGTGGGACAAAACCATGACCAACCAATGAGATTACAAGAACAGTCACCCAGGTGATATTGATTAAATGGCGGGCAAATGGGGGAGCAAGTCACACAGCAAGCATGCAAGGATTTTCAGTAAGGGGGCGTCAGGGATATTTCCTGGAGAGGCTGGGTTAAGCCCTTGGCCCCCAGCCAGGTGATTGATACCTGTTTAGAATATCAGTCACTGCTGTTCTTCCTACATGGGTGTGCTCATTTCTCTCCTTCTACAATGCTGGCCTTCAGGGAATGTGTCTTCACTCTCCTCCATGCTGGCTCCTCCTGGGCCGGCCCTGTCTAACTGCCTACAAGATTTCTAATTAACTCACCTGTCTGCAATACTCACCGACGCTTCCAGTGGGCTCCAGCGTGAGGATGGCACTCACTCACGGAGGGGGGACAGTGGGGTCCCGGGTGCCCCGGGGACTTGCTCTGGACCCGGGCCCTGCCCAGCGCCCACCACAGAGGACAAGGTCCATGTCCTGGCCAGGTCCCCTCAGCATCTGCCATTGGCCGGGAGAGCAGGATGCAGTCAGCACCGCAGCCAAGCCTGGGTCAGGGAAGGGCTGGGCTCCAAGGAGCAGGGACCTGGGTTCGGGAGTGGTCCTGGGGTGAGCTGATCGGTGGTGTCTGAGTGTGAGTGAGTGTGTGGGAGGCCGGAAGGAACCCTGGGCTCATCTGAAGGCTCCTTGGGGTAAAACAGACCTTCCTCCCAGATGAAGTCCGAGCTCCTCCAGCTCCTTTTGTTTCCTGGAATTAGGAAAGCCTGGTTCCTAGTTGTGTTCTCTCCTCTGCTGTTTGTTTTTTAATTTTTTTGGCAGGATATATACTGTGGAGTGAACCCAGGACCTTCCCACTGCGCTACAATCTCTGTTCCCCTTCTAATTCTTTTTTCTTTTTCATTTTGAGACAAGTTCTCTCTCAGTTGGCCAGGCTGGGATCCCAGTCACCATTGTCCTTCCCTTCCTCAGCCTCCCACGGGGCTAGAATAGCAGACACACCCACAGTCCCAGTTTCTGCACAGCGTCAGGGTCCTGAGATCGGCTTCCACTTTCCCAAATCATTCTCCGTGGAGCACTGGTTTCAGGTCGCCCTTATATGGTCAGTGACGCCTGTGACAGCCCCTTGGGCAGCCCGGAGGCAGGGACAGGAGGGCAGGGCGGCCCCGCCCTGCTGCAGCACCAGCCACAAAGGCCCCAGCTTCCTGGGCCAGCCACAAGCAGCTGCCAGCGTTCCGGCGACCTGGGTGGCTTCCAGGTTCCAGGCTCCGTGGGGCAGTGAGGTGGGAGCTGAGGCCTGGGCGGCTGGGGCAGGTCCGAGGGGGCTCAGAGCCCTGGGGAGGAGCAGGGCTGGGAGGGAACCTGAGAGGCCGGGCACCATCGCCCTGCAGTGCCCGCAGAGGGGGCAGTGGAGTGCAGGTGGCCTCCCTGGGGCTGGTCCCCACCCACCCGAGCATCTTCCCTCTGCAGCAGCCCCGCCTGGCCCACCAGTCCTTTCTGTGCTCTCAAACCCCAGTCTTCTGTCCACATCCCCTGACCCCTCACCACTGAAGCCCCCCTCTCCTTCACCCAGGGTGGAACCCTTCTGTCTCCTGAGCCTGCATCCCCTGTGGGGCAGGGTCCTTGTCCCCAGAGCTTCCAGGCTGAGCCCTGAGTCCTAAGAGAGGATGGGGCACAGCTGCAACAAGGGATGTGGCCAGGAACGGGGCCGGGGGCGGGGGGGGGGGCGTCCTGGGCTGCACTGTGATGCTGGGTGAGCTGGGAATCAGCCACAGCCAGGGCAGGGCCCTTCCTGGGGGACAGGGCGTGGCAGAGCTCAGAGGGGACTGTGAAGCGGACCAGGACTGCAGAGGTGGCACAGAGGCGGGGAGAGGAGGCAGAGCTGCCCGAGGTAGAGCAGTTCTATGGCTTTGAAATGCAAACCAAAGGCACAGCTTCCACATGGCCGTGGCCGGGAGCCAGCCGTGGTGCTCAGGCTGTGTTGCACGAAGCAGCCCTTTCTTCCCTCCTCTAGACCCGCACCATGAGCTCCCTGTCCGCAGCCAATGGCGCCTTTGCCTTCCGGCTTCTAAAGCTCCTGTGCCCGGATGACCCCGCAGACAACGTCTTCTTCTCTCCTGTGAGTGTCTCCTCAGTCATGGCCATGGTCCTGCTGGGAGCCAAGGGCGACACAGGGGCCCAGATTGCCCAGGTGAGCTGGCCGGCTCCAGGCTCCTTCAGTGAGGGGGGAGGGGTTGTTTTTTGCTCTGCTGGGTGTTTTTGTGGTAGTGGCAGGGCAGGGAAAACTCCCCCAAATAATAACTCAGAGAAGATTCAACATTTGGCCTAGCACTTAATTTAGAAAATGAAGCTGGGTCTAGAGTGTGGCCCAGGGGTAAGAGCCTGCCTAGTGTTTGATCCCCAGCACCCCAGTGGGGGGAAAGGGCAGGAGGAGGAAGGCAGTGGAGGGGAGGGAGGGGAAAGAAAAGATGCTAGACTTAGCGGAAAAATAAGTCCGGGAGATCTGTCTCTATTTGGAGCGCAAGACTTTGCAACACTCATTGTTCACTGGTGTAGAAAGCCATTTCCAGATACAGGTACCAACCTGCCTTGCCAGCTCAGCACAGGGACAAACAGAGCAGGGCACGGCAGGGTCAGACAGAAGCCTGGATCCCGCTGGGGACCCTAGAAGCTCTAGTGAGCGCAGTAGGCCACGTGCAGGGTGCATCTGAAATGATTCAGAACAGTCACTGTGCCCAGAGCTCGCAGGGTGGGGAGGGGACAAGAGCCTGCGGAAAGAGCCCCGAGGCCTGGGCGTTGTTACCGGTGCCTGTGCACAGAGCTTCGGGCAGGTGTGCTTCACGGGGTCATTTTGGCCTCAGTGCATTGGCATCTTCAGGGCCCCTTCAGCGGGGACTGCTCTTTCTAATCTTTCCACTCACGGTGGGAGGCACTGGAGCGTCATGCATGGAGACAACATGCTTTCTGGTGATGCTTTGTGATCCTCTAGGGTTTGAGCCCTGTGCAGGAGGCTTCACTGGGATACATAGCTAGATCTGGGCTCAGAAAAACAACCCTCCCCGATAGCAATGACAGCAACAATAACGAAAAACAAAATCCTTGGAAAGGATCATTTTATGGAATATTTGAGAAAAAAAAATTTTTTTTAAACTCTTTGTGAGCTCGGAAGACAATATTGACAGTGTGGCCTTGATTTCCTTCACAGGTGCTGGCTTTAAACCCCAAGGGGGACATTCATGGTGGCTTCCAGTCCCTTCTCACCCAAGTGAACAGGCCTGGTGCTCCGTTCTCCCTCAGCATCGCCAACAGGCTCTTTGCAGATAAGAACTGGAAATTCCTCCCAGTGAGTTGAGTCAGAAAAATGAAAATGGTTTAATGTAACATAGCTGGTGACATAGGGCCCAGGAAGAGGACGCTGGAGACCTTGAGGAACTGACAATTAACCATGTTTTATTTTCTTGTGTTTAGACTATAGCTCTATAAAATACCCTGCATGCTTTTATGTTTGACTCTTCCTAGAGCTCTTGCCTTCATCCCCAGTTATTCCAGACTCGGCACATACCTACTTACAAAATGGCCCTTGACATCTCATAGACTTTGTGATGTCTTCTAAGAGATTCCCATGCTCTTTTTAAGTTTCCAGAGAACAATGTGCTGCTCAGAATGCTCAGCAGCCCGCTGACATTCTCTGCAGCTCTGTATCCTCACCCGGCCCGTCTATCCCCACAGTCATGTACGGAGTCCTGTCTGAAGTTCTACCGTGCCGAGGTGGACCAGCTGCCCATTGCGGAAGATCCAGAGAAGTCCAGGAAGCACATCAACACTTGGGCATCCAAAAGGACTGAAGGTCAGCATGGGCAGCTACTTCCGGTCCTTCCCCCTTCCAGCCTCTCCTCCTCCTACCATCCTCCATGCTTCTTCCTCTGTGCTCCCTTCTCCTCCTCCCACTCCACCTGTTCTGCTCCATTCTCCCTCATCCTCCGCCTTCAGTCACTGGCATTTCCCATGGTCAGAGTGATGTTGACAGCCTGGACCTCATGTTGCATTTGAACCTTAGTGGGCTCACAGCTCTTCTGATCAGATGTTCAAGATTCAGTACCAGAGACTTCATTTTGTCTCTAGTAGAAGTGGGGCTGCTGTGGCTGGCAAAACATACTCATAGGCCAGATTTCAGTTTAACATTTACATCAGAACACACTGTCACTGGCTTGAAATGTCTACACGTCAGGGGACCCCTCCTCTCTGTGAGGAGGAGATGGGTGAACAGATAGACCCTCCCTCCATCACTTTCTCCTCACTGGGACAACAGGCCAAATGCCCATACCTTGAAGGGGGAGAGGTTCATTTTGCTCACAGTTTCAGAAGGTTCAGTTCATGGTTGGCTGAGTCCAGTACAGCAGGGGCCTGGTGGGAGGGCCTGCACTGGAGGACAGTGCTCCCCTCATGGTGTCCAGGAAGCATAGAGAAAAGAGAGGAGCTTAAGATAGCAACGACTATATCATGATGCATAGATCCCACTCCTAGCGATTCACTGCCAACCAGGCTCTACCTCCTAACAAGTCACCAATAGTGTCCCCGTGGTCCAGCCAACTTCCCAAAGCCCCACTTATGAACATGTGAGGGTTTGGAGGGATTTTCTAGCACTGAGCCATAGCACCCACGCACTTGGACCTCCTCTTTCGAGAGCATGTGGGGCCTCCACCCCCCTCTATCCCTGCTAAGGGGACTTCTGCTACCTTCTCTTCCATGTTGCCCACCTAAGCTCCCATGACGAGACTCCACAGCCTAGGCTTCATTGGTCTCCTGCAGGCCCATCCTCAGTGCTGATCATTCCACACTGAAAGCACCCTCTGCGTGGGCCTGATCTTTACTCATTTCCGGTGGACAGAGTGACACAGGCCACCCTTGGTCCCCAAGATCAGTGATGGGGGAACGTGTGAACCATTCAGACAGCAGGGCCACACGAGGAGATTTCCTATTTCTGCTAACAAGTGAGCCAGTGGCAAATGAGAAGTGTTTTCCCTTTAAGACTCAGCTGTAGATTCCCCCATTTCTTCCTGGAATCCTTACCCTTTTTATCCTCTCCAGGTGCAAATTAGCCAGGATGCTCTTAGTTCATGACAAGATTCCACTGGGTGTCCAGGGGAAGCGCAGCGCATCTAGGTCACCCCCGTGACCTTCTCCAGGGCTACCTGGTGCTCTGCCTAGAGGGTGCAGTAGGATCCTCCCTTCCCTGGGCTTCCAGAAACCCCTCCTGTGCCCATCACCCCCTTCCCACTCTGAGCCCCTGTTCTGGCTGCCTGTGTCCCATGGACTCATCGCTGCCCGCCCAGGGTTAGAGCAGGGTGTGGGCGGGGTGCCCGAGACCTCGCCCATTTAACCCCTGCGGGATCGCAGTCCCCGCCCATCTCTCATTTCCTGCTTCTCGCCTCCACCCTGTGCTTTCTTTCTCATAACCTGCTTTCCTTGAGTGACTCCACTCTGAGGAGTTGCTTTTTTGTCTTTTTAGTCCATAACAGTCCCAACTCAGCAATTGTGAAAAGATGTTTAAATTTTCCAGGTTGCTGTTCTATAGTTGGTTCATCACAGGTTTATAAGAAGACATTGAATGTCTCTGCTTTCTCAAAAGGCAAAATTCAGGAGTTGTTGGCAGAGGGCTCACTTGGTAAGGGGATCAGACTGATTCTGGTGAATGCTGTCTACTTCAAAGGAAGGTGGGACCAACAGTTTGAGGAGTCGTCCACAAGGACAATGCCTTTTAAAATAAACCAGGTACAGAGAAGCTTTAAACAAACTCATTTGAAAAAGAAATTGAATAGAAAAATTTAATGTTGTAAGGGCATAAGTGGTTAAAAATTCTTTGAAACAATATATCTCTAAGTTGATTTTTAAACTCAGTAGAAAAAAATTACAAGAGTAAAGAATATGGTCTGCTTCTCATTATTTGTATAAACTACTGCTCTTCCTGTATCACAATTTCTTCCACTTCAACTGCGACAAACTGAGTCTGGAAACTGAAGCTTTTCCTTGAGTACAAGTTGCATGGTAGAGGCAAAAAAAAAAAAAATGTGCTAAGGTATTGTGATGTATGCACAGGGTGATGGCTGGGCTAGAAAGAAAAACCGGAAAACACATTTCTTTAATCAAGGGGTTTTAAAATTAAAACAAGTAGTTAGTTGAATTATTGAGAGTTAACATACAAATTATTCCCTCAATATTTGCAAATTTCTAATATTAAAACAAAATGGTCAATACCTCGGTCCTGAGATTTTAACTTCAATTAATGCGGAGTTAAAATCATTTGCCAAATCCTCTAATCCCTTAAAACACAGAAAACTTATTAGGAATAAAACACTTAGGAAGTCCATACATGTTCAAATACCCCTCATTTGAAAATCGCGTGCCTTTGCATAACGATTCATTTATTTTCGGCATGGGATGTTGGGGGGATTTCAGAGCCAAACAATAGCACGTGGACAATTCAGAGCACCAGTTTATTCTGCCAGCGAAGACATCTTTCCCAGGCTGCTCTTGGATCTGCTTACGCGCCATGGCTTCCAGTGATGTGGGACCTGTGGTGCCGTCTTTCCCGGTGTCACCTGGCACAGACACTGTTTCCCTCACTGGTGCTGAGACACTCCCAGAGCATTGGGGATCTCCTTGCTCCCTGGAGACTGTGTGACAGCTGTGCTCATGTGCTCACCCCGGCAGAAGGAGCAGAGGCCGGTGCAGATGATGTACCAGGAAGCCAGGCTCCCCCTGGCCTATGTGAGGGAGTTGGGGACCCAGGTGCTGGAGCTGCCCTACACTGGCCGCGAGCTGAGCATGGTCATCGTGCTTCCCGTCGAAGGCGTGGACCTCAGCACGGTGAGACAGCGGGTCTGTGTGCGTGTGCGTGTGTCTGCTGTCCTGTCCAAGCATCCTGCGACATCTTCACATCCTTCCCGCCAGGACAGAAACCGGGCACACGGCTGCCCTTGGCATCGCCCTCTCCAGTGGGTGGTTCGGGCAGATCCAGCTTGGGGAGCGTTTGGCTTTGGGATCAGACTGTTGCCCAGGACCGGCTTCTCCCAGTCCTGCCACGGGACCACGCAGGACGGCGGGGCCTTGCCCCGGGCCATAACCCATCAGCCTGGGTCTTCTCACTCTAGAACAGGAAACATGATGATGTCGACCTGCTGGGGTTATTACTGCATTATTATTAAGAGGGGCAATCCAGGTAACAACGTCGCACATTGCCTGGCACATAGGATCCAGGCTGTACAGTGTGATCCATTATGATGGGGATCACTGCTAATTAGCTGTGCGTTTATAACAGGAAAATATTAACGGAGAGTGAGAGAAGCCTACACTGTGGCCTGCGCGGTGGGCAGTGCAGATCCCGTGCAGAGGGCAGGACCTGGGCGCCCTGGCAGAGGAGGGGTGCGGCCCCAGGAGGGACAGCTGGGGTGTGCACTGGGGTCTGAATCTGAAAGTCTAATTCTGGCCTTTCAGGTGGAAAAAAGCCTCACTTTTGAGAAATTCCAATCGTGGACCAGTGCAGAGCAGATGAAGAGTACGGAGGTTGAAGTTTTCCTGCCGAGGTTTAAACTGCAGGAGGACTATGACATGGGCTCTGTGCTGCAGCGATTGGGCATGGTGCATGCCTTTGAGC